GATATTCATGCTATGGGAGACCTATAAGCTTTGGAGATTGAAACTAACAATTTGGCATAATTGTCAAAGGAATGGCTCTAGTTATCTCCTGTACAGGACATTCCTCAACATTTAAAGATCCCATAGCATTTCAAAAATGGCATCACCATTTTGGGGAAAAAAAAAGCATTTACTGCATGTTGTGAAGTGAAATATTTCGCAGATAAATCAGAAAATTCCATACATAAGACACATAGATATCTCATAATGTAAACTGCAATTAGTGCAACATGGAGTGTCCCCATATGAATAGCAATTCTAATTCTAACAATGTACAAAGTCTAAGGTTCAAAGTCTCTAATAAACACCTTCAGCAAAGGATACAAGATTAACTCAAAAAAAAAAAAATCACTAGCCCACATATGTGTGTGTATATATGTATGTATATATGGGGCTCAGAAAGAAATCAGAAAACATTACAATACTCACAAATCACATAAAATATCTTGGGGTAACTCTAACCAAACAGGTGAAAGACATATATGACAAGAACTTTGAGATATTAAAGAAAGCAATTAAAGAAGATACCAGAAAATGGAAGGAGCTCCCTCCCATGCTCTCGGATAGGTAGGATCAACATAGTAAAAATGGCAATCTTTCCTAAAGCAATCTACAGATTCAATACAATCCCCATCAAAATCCCAGAACAATTCTTCACAGACATTGAAAGGACAATACTCTATATGAAATACAAAAAAAAAAAAAAAAAAAAAAAACAAACCCTCAGGATAGCCAAAACAACTCTGTACAATAAAGGAACTTCAGGAGGCATCACCATCCCCGACTTCAAGCTCTATTATACAGCTATAGTTCTGAAAACAACTTAGTGTTGGCACAAAAACAGACAGGTAGACCAATGAAACCAAATTAAAGAACCTTGAGATTAACTCACACACCTATGAACATCTGATTTTGACAATCAGACCTGAAAATTGTCTGGATTTCCTCAGTGTCCATTGTTATGTCCCCCTTTTCATTTCTGATTTTGTTAATTTGCATGTTCTCTCTTTCTCTCTCTCTCTCTCTCTCTCTCTCTCTCTCTCTCTCTCTCTCTCTGCTTTTTGGTTAGTTTGGATAAAGGTTTGTCTATCTTGTTGATTTTCTCGAAAAACCAACTCTTTGTTGCATTGATTTTTCTGTATTGTTTTCCTGGTTCATTTCAGTCCTCAAATTGATTATTTCCTGCGTCTACTCCTCCGGGGTAAGTTTGCTTCTTTTTGTTCTAAGGCTTTCAAGTTGTGCTGTTGATTCTCTAATGTGACTATCCTCTGTTTTCTTCATATGAGCAATTAGTGCAATGAATTCCCTCATAGCACTGCTTTCAGGGTGTCCCATAAGTTCGTGTATGTTGTGTCCTCATTCTTATTGAATTTTAGGAAGTCCTTAATTTCTTTATTTCTTTTTTGACCCAGGTATGGTACAATTGTGCATTGTTCAGTTTCCATGAGTTTGTAGGGTTTTTGTGATTTGTGTTGTTGTTGAATTCACCTTCAAAGCATGTTGGTCTGATAAGATACAGGTGACTACTCCAATTTTTTGTTTCTGTTGAGGTTTGCTATGTTGCCAAGTATGTGGTTGATTTTAGAGAAGGTTCCATGTGGAGCAGAGAAGAAGGTATATTCTTTTGTGTTTGGATGGAATGACCTATAGATGTCTGTTAAACCCAATTGAGACATAACTTCTGTTAGTTCTTTTGTTTCTTTGTTGAATTTCTGACTGGTGGTGCTGTCTAATGGTGAAAGTGGTATGTTGAAGTTCCCACTATAAGTGAGTGAGGTTTTATGTGAGGTTTGAGTTTTAGTGGCACTTCTTTTACGAATGTGGGTTCCTTTGTATTTGGGGCATAGAATTGAGACTTTGTGTTGATGGATTTCTCCTGTGATGAATACAAAATAACCATCTTCATCTCTTTTGATTAATTTTGGTTTGAAGTCTAACTTGTTAGATATTAGGATAGTCACATCTGCTTGCTTCTTGGGTCCATTTGATTGGAAGATCTTTTCCCAACCCTTTACCCTGAGGTAATGTCTATCTTTGAAGCTTAGATGTGTTTCTTGTATGCAGCAGAAGGATGGATTCTGTCTTTGTATCCATTCTGTTAGCCTGTGTCTTTTTATAGGTGAGTTAAGACCATTAATGTTGAGGGTGAGTAAGGACCATTGATTGTTAATGCTTGTTTTAGATTTGTTGGTGGTGGTGGTATTGTGAAACCTTTGTGAGCTAAGAAGATCTCAAGCCTCCCTTTTCCCATTTAAAAACACTGCAACTGTAATCAGGCACCGTACTCTCCAGCATATTCGGTTCTTAGAAATAAAAACGTTTTGCTTTTGTACTTTAAGAAGTCTTATGAGCCTGCGACTGGGGAGAGGGGTGGGGAGCTAAATCTGCTGGATAATACTGCCAATCAAAGCGTTTTCACCCTACAAGCATCCCGTCCTCCCGAGTGGACTCTACTTTCCCACTAGGTCTTCAGATGCACGTACATGGAGTTGACATGAGGTCTGTGGTCTGGTTAAGGTCAGTGGTTAAGTCAATGTTGCTGTCAACCTCTAGGGCAGTGGTTCTCAAATGTTCTACTGCTGTTGAGTCTTTAATACAGTTCCTCATAATTCTTTTTGTTGCTACTTCATAATTGTAATATTCTAATGTTCGAATCATAATGTAAATACTTGACATATGACCTCCAAGGGGGTCATGACCCACAGGTTGAGACCAGTGCTTTGACCAACTGTTAATACTATCTCAATTGATTCCAATTAGTCACTGGTTGAGTTTAGTGGGTCAATGGTTAAATCTAGTAGGCCTTCACTGTGTGTGCGTGTGTGTGTGTGTGTGTGTGTGTGTGTAGAATCTATTAATATATATGTGGAGAATTTATTAGAATGACTTAAAGGCTGCAGTCCAGTAATGGCTAGCTGTGAATGCAAAGTTCAACAATCCGGTAGCTACTCAGTCCCACAAGGCTAGGTATCTTGGCTGGTCTTCTGTATATTCTGCAATACCGAAGAAGTAGGCTCTAATGCCAGTGAGGGAACAGATGTGCTCTAATGAAGTGAGGGCAAGTAGGATAAACCCTTCCTTATTCTTTTCGCCTTACATAGGCTTTTAGCAGAAGGTGTGGCCCAGATTAAAGATGTGCTTTCAGCCTCAAATCTGGTCTTTCAGCTTCAAGATCGGAATCACAAGTGTGTTCTCCATTTCTGGATTATAGTTCATTCTAGATAGAATCAAGCCGACAGCAAAGGAAAGCCATCACAGTAGGTCATCGCTGAACCTAGAAGGTCTTTACTGGTTGGGTCTCGTGAGTCACCATTGATTGCTTCTGTGTATACACTGGGGGAAGCCATAGCCACAGCACATAAGACAGAGTGCCAGGACTTTGCAGAGCATGGTGCCTCGATGAGTGAGGGCAACCAGACAAAAGAAAGGGATTACCAAAACTAGAAGTGATTTACAGTTCTCTGTTTTACCTGTGTGAGGGGTTATACTGCCCCTCTAGAGTTCTTCAGAGAGGATGCAGGATTAAATGCACTTTATCCACAGTGCATAATTAAGCCAACAGAGGCCAGTGTTAAGCCAACTTCAGCAATGTAAGCAACTAATATAAAAGCTCCCACTGGTGATGGCGATTCTTGGTTGTCAACTTGACTGCATCTGGAATTAACTAAAATCCAAGCAGCTTGGTACACCCATGAGAGATTTTTCTTAATTAAATGTCTGAAGTCAGAAGACCCAACTTTAATCTGCATCTTTTGAGGAGGGAAGATCCACCTTTAGTCTGGGCCACACCTGGTGGGAGCCAATATAAAGGGCACGGGTGAAGGAAGCTTTTGTTCTCTGCAGCTTCGCACTTGATGGCAAGTTCAATCCTTCACTGGTGTTAGGACCTACTTCTTCAGGGTTCTGCAGGATACAGACCAGCTGCAACATCCAGCCTCATGAACTGAACAACTACTGGATTCTTAGACTTTTCATTGGTAGGCAGCCATTGTTGGACTAATTGGACCACAACCTGTGAACCAGTCTAACATGTATATTAGATAATATAGTGTATAACATATATAATACATAATATAAAAAGTAACATACATAATTTATATATTATATATAAAAGTTATAAATATATAAAATTTATATATGTATAATATACATATATGGATGTTTATATTCATATATAAATATATAATTATATGTGAATGTGTGTAAGTCTATTTTATATACCATATATAATTATATAAAATAAATGTGCATATTTATGTATTATACAAAATGTATTTAATATATATTCTAGAGAATCCTGACTAATATGTAATATACTCCTTAATCTAGAAACACCTTGTATCAGAATAAATCTCTGTATGATACTATTTCTAATAGTTATTTAGAACTTTTTAAGTATATTAATAACTAGGACACCAAATTGTAATTAAAGATATGGAGTTTATATGTGAAAAGCAGAACTTTCTATATATAGAATCTTACAGGATTCAAGATAAAATAAATACGGATTTTTTTTTTCCAAGATACTCTGTAACCCAGGCTGGCTTCAAACTCAGAGATCTACCTGCCTCTGCCTCCTGAGTGCTGGGATTAAAGGTATGCACCACCACCATTCATCATGGTACTACACTGAAGAATATGGAAACATCATCTTGTACTGGAAAAATAAAAATAGGTGCTAATTACAAAATGCTGGAGAGGAGAAAAAGGTATTCAAAAGGTTGGTTTTAAAAACCAAGAACGGGGCTAACAAGATGGATCAGCAGGTAAAGGTACTTGCTGAGTGAGCCTGGCAATCTGAACTTGAAAGGTGGGAGGAGAAAAGAAAGAAAGACTACAGGGAAGTCCTCCTATCTATCTCTCCATGCATGTTGTGGCACATGTACCCATGCAACATCACGTACATTTACAATAATCATAAGTAAAATTTAATCTTTAAAAACGTCAGGGATAAAAATATGCAAGAGAATCTTCTTTTATTATATCCAGGAACTTTACAAAGCAGTTTAGTCCTCCCAAAAGGTGTGCCACCCTTTTAAGAAATGAGCCTTCTTGAATTATAAACTTTCACACCATTTTGCACTGAAGAACGGGAATATTTGGTAAGTAATGCACCTATAGATTGTTTTTCTCCGCACAAGTCCCTGTGGGGATAAAAATAAATAAATGCCATGAATATTTTAGGGAACATAACATGACACAGGACTGCTTACTTTATCCCCACCTCCTAAAGCTACCTTTGGTTTTGTTTCCATTTTTGTTTGTTTATGACACCAGTTTCTCTGTGTAGCCCTGGCTGTCTTGGAACTCTCTTTATAGACAAGGCTGGCCTCAAATCCACCTGCTTCTGCATCCCAAGTGCTCAGACTAAAGGCGTGTGCTACAATGCCTAGCTTATAGCCATCTTTCCAATAGCCATGTGAGTGAGAAGAACAGTGAAAACTCTGTTGTGGGATATTTGTACACTGTGTGAATACATATTTGCTGTGATTGGTATTCTAAAATGCTGAAGGCCAATAGCTAGGCAGGAGGAGAAAGGGAGAAAGAGAGATGAATCTGGCACAGAGTCAGATGCCAATAAGACATGGAGGAAGACAGACAAACAGAATGAAAGAAAGGTAAAAAGCCACGAGGCAAAACATAAATTAATAATAAACGGGCTAATTTAAATTATAAGAGCTAGAGGGACAAGCCTAAGCTGAGGCCGAACTTTCATAATTAATAAGAAGTCCCCACGTCATTATTTGTGAGCTGGCAGCCAACAACAAAGCTTGCTCCACAACTGCTTCTGAGTATCAACTGAACTAGGTAGATTGCATGTATCATTTCATCTAACCCTCACAAGAATAGGAGTAACGAGTTATTCAACCCAACATTAGATATGAGGAAACAAACCCAGGCAGTAATTAAGGGTCAAATTTTGCCATTATGTGCGTGTGACTTCAAGGTCCCATGTTACTTCCATTATATCACGTAATCTTTAAATTAGGAATAGAAGCAATGCGATAAGGAGGCGTCCAGAGTGAAAGAACCTGTATCATAGGCTTGCCAAGTATGGGCTTGTCTAGCTTGCCTGCCCTTCTTGGACTTTAGTTTATGTACCTCAAAAAGAAGCCTGCCTGAAGCCTAATCTGAGGAGAGGGAGATGGGTGACATGAAGGGAAAGAGAGCTAGATCACCGAGGGCCACAAAGTTCACAGAAAGGGCTTGAGGTTTAATCGGAAATATAATGTGAAGGCCAGTAGTAGTAGTTTACACAGTGGAAAAAGCATAATATGCTCTGAGGTTTAAATGATGGGGGGCAATGAGTTGATTATGGAATCTGGGCAGTGAGAACGTGGAAGGCTCATTATATTGGTACTTTTCAATGTTTAACAATCGGCAGGTCATGATAAACATCAATGTTGAAAATAGTATGAGGAAGCCACTACATTTATTCAGGCCTGGATGAGGGCATCCAAGGAAACATGAAAAGAAAGACAGAGAGAGAGAGAGAGAGAGAGAGAGAGAGAGAGAGAGAGAGAGAGAGAGAGAGAGAGAGAGGAGTTTAAGAAGAATGAGGATCAATGAGATGGTTCCGGAGACCAAGGCATTTGCTACACGATGGCCTGAGTTCAGTCCCTAGGATTGAACATCATAGAAAGAAGGAACTGACTCTTAAAAGCTGTCATCGGATTTCCCTATATGGGGCATGCCACATACTCCTCTCTGACCCTCAAATAAATAAATAGGGCTGAAGATGTAGCTCAGTTGCAGAGCTCTTGTCTGGTTCAATCGGGCATTTTCTTACGAAGGAGAGAAAAGGCCATGGGGTCAGCATGTGCTCTGCAGTCTGGGTGACACTACAGAGCATGTGTGATGGGGATGACCCAGTATGGGAGAAAAGAGACAACTCAAGAAGTCGGGGGGATTGGAAAGGGCCAGAAGAGACAACTCCAGCGCAGAGGGAGGACTGGCCTCAATAGGAGGAACAGGAGAGATGGCTCAGTGGCTAGGAGCACTTGCCCCACAATCGTTAGGAAGGGAATTTAGATCGAAGCAGTCAGGGTACCAAACTGGTTCTTCCCCCAAATCCCAGCTCCAAGAGGGGTAGAGATAGGAAGATGGGTAGAGCTTGCTAGCTTCAAGTCTAGCCAAGACAGGCCCTCAGATCATGAAGAGGCTCTGCCTCAGAGAAACAGGCAGATAGCGATGGAGGAAGACGTCCGATTCTCCTGGCCTCCATGTGCATCCTCGTCCTCATGTACATGTATACACACTCCCACAGGTAAGTACAATCCTTCCTAAGGTAAGTACGATCCATCCTAAGATGTATCGCAAAAAGGCGAGTACAATTTATACATCAGACAGGGGGGGAGTGGAAGGGAGGAATGCAGATGTGAGGGGATTGAAGGCCGGGCAACGGGAAAGGAAGGGATTGCTATTTACTTGCTTCCATTTCCTCAAGCAATAAAATCGTAAGCAGGGAGCGAAGATACAATGGGGTATCGGTGGTACTGAAAGATAAAGGAAGATAGGATGAAAATACAAGGTAGGAAGGTTTCATGAGACCCAGTGACGGGCCAGGGCCTGTGCTAAATTCTTAGTTTGGTGATCTTCTTGGAGATGTTTCTTCAGGAACTTCAGCTACAGATGTAGGCCACGGGAGGGGGGGGGGGACCCCAGAAGGTTGGGTTTAATTAAGAGGGAGAGAGAATAGAGGAGGGATACATACGCAGCAGGAGCTACAGAGGGCATGGCCGGCCTGTAAGTTGTGACAGAAGACACAGACAGGACAATCTGCAAAATCACTTTGGCCAGCTAGCCTGGCATATGCAGCAAAAAAGGAACAGAAGAACCTGTCTCAAGTAGAGCGTAAGGGGAAGACCAACACCCAAGGGTGTGCTTTGACCTCCACACATGCTGTGGTAAACAAGCACTGCCATTCACCACCACCACCCCACACATACATACACACGCATGTGCACACACACACTTCCACATACACAAAAACTAAATAGATAAATATAAGTAGAAAAGAACAACACAAGCAAAGGATTAGGCAGCGGGAAAGACAGGAGTTGGCAATCAATGAGGGGTATCTACCTTTGGGACATGGGTGTATTTATTCTCCCCCGAAGAACTGTCTTTGTAGGAAGAAGAGCAGAGAAATGGCTATAGACGGATGTTAAGGGAAGAGGAAGGCATATACTCCACCTTCAGGATGAATAATCAGACCGTGACAGAGCAGGTCATCTGAGAAAGTTTCAGGGGACACGGAATCCTCAGGGACCACACAGCAACATCGTAGGTCATAAACCTGAAGCCCTGTGCCACATTTTAAAGAACAACCATTGTAACCACTGTGAATGAATTACTTACTGGATATAAGGAGCAATGTCTTCTTCCGTCCATTTTTCTCTTAGAGAGAAGAGACTATTGAAGCGCTCCTGTGTTCCCTCGGGCAAATCATCTACTTTGAGCAAAAATATGATTTCTGGTCTTGAGTTTCTATCCACCAGTGCTAACCCCTACAAGAGACAAGACAGAAGAAAGACAGTGAAAGTAATGATCTCCTATTTAAATAGGACTCCTTTCTTTTGCCATTAGATTTAGCCCAAGGAAACTTTACAGGAAGTCTTCGCATAAAAAAGTTCCTTTAAGCTGGGATTTCTTTGCCATGTGCAATCTGGCTGCCACTGCCACCAGTCTGCCAAGATGTCTTGGTGACAACTGTCACCAGTGACTGGTCATTGCCAAATGCAGAAAGCACTTTCCTTGGCTCCTTGGCTTCACCTACTTTATCAGCCCCACTTTCTTGTTAATGTCCATCACCCTTTTCATCATCTCCTTCCACCTCCCACATCTCTGCCTTCTTTTCTGTCTTACTTAATGTGTAGTTTCCCAGCCTTCCACAGCATCCTATTACCCATCTCCCCACCTGTCCCGGGGAACCTCACCCTACCCCCACAGCCTCCAGTGGCCATGCTCAGGACTATCATATTTGCATCTTCTTCTCAGATACCTCTTCTGAGTCCCAGAGTCACAAGTCCAGATTACAGAGGATACCCGCTCCATTCCTGTGCTCATGACTAATATTTGCATCTTCTTTTCAGATACCTCTTGTGAGTTCCAGAGCCATATGTCCAGATTACAGAGGACACCCAATCCACTCCCACTGCCTTGGGGAAACTGGAAATCTAGAGAACCTAAATTCTGGTAATCAAATCCCATACCTAAGTGGTCAGGAGACACTATAAGATTTCTCTACCCATCACCCAGTATCTATTTTCATTTTTTTACATTTTTTAGTGTGTGTGTATCCACATGCATGTGCATGTAGTGTAGTGCAGAGGAATCTGTGTACTTGACAGCACAAATATAGAAATTACAGGATAATTCAAGAGTCATTTCTCTCTTTCCATCATGTTGGTCCTAAAGATTAAACTTGGGGTGTCAGGGTTTGGTGGCAAGCACTTTTACCTACTAAGTGCCATTTTTTGCTTCCCATTGTTGTTTATTTCTTTGGCCAGTATTCTTTGGGGATTCTTATATGTTTCTCTCCCACTCTTATTTTTTTGAAACAGGGTCTTCACCAGTCCAGACTGGCATGATCTCAATGTGTAGCCAAGGATGATCTTGAACTCCTGATCCTCTGGACTCTACCCTAGATGCTGGGGATTAAAGGCATACACCACCATGCTTGATTTGTATAAAGTGCTAGTGATTGAACTCAGGACTTTGTGCGTACCAGGCAACTGTTCTACCGACTACGTCACACACATCTGTGGCCCCAACAACTGCATATGATTACCGGGGCAGTTAAAGGATTTGTGATGGAGCACATGAAGACTGCAGGAAAATAAAATACCTCCCAATTGAGCTCCAGGGCAAGAATCACCCCATCTAGTCAGACGTCACTGGCAGAATCCCAGGCACGGCCCCCATCAGCCCCGCCCCCATCAGCCTCACCTTGAGCTGATCAAGCCGAGTTGTCATTCCCTCGGGGACACTCTGCTGCCAAACTTCCTGAAACTCATCTAGATTAAACTTGACAGCATTCTGCAACAGCATCTCTGCCGTCACTCTGCATATTTTGTCAGCATCCAATTCAAAATAAACTTCATCTAGGGGAATGGTATCAGACAGGTTCACATAGGTTCATAACATTTTCTTTTAATGGCATTTGGGTATTTATTTTTTGTTGTGTGTGTACATGTGTGGGCTTGTACATGCCACCGCCTGAGTGTGGAGGTCAGATGACAGCTTTCAGAGTCACCTTGTCGTGGGAGTAAACTCAGGTCCTCAGGCTTGGCTCAGCCATCTCACTCACACCATATTATGTTATTTTTCAGTACCATATTCGCACACCCTTTACCTCAACAGCATGCCTTAAAAGGAATCCCGTATCTTTGTTCACCTCCCACAGTTCTTATTAACACCAACACACTTATTTGTCACACAAGTTAAAAATCCCTATTAGAATACTTTCCAATTTTTACCTTCATCCACATATTTCTTTCCATAGCATTGAAGACAGTGTTCTATCATTTCCCTGAAAATTTAAAACACACAAGAAAGCTTATCAGCATTTTACAGACATTTTAAACCCAGCTGCTAGCTATAAACTCAAATACAAATTACAGAATTGAAATATTAAATTACTTAGATGATAAATAATATTTAACAACTAATTTAAATAATCTGGAAATGTCACATGCCAGGCCTGTGCTACTCCTTCTGCAGGAATTAGGTAGCCACACATTCATTGTTATACAGAAGCGCAAATATGACCATTAACTTTTTGTAACCAAAATAAAAAGTAGAAGAGATGATGCAGATTTATTCACCCCAGTAACCACAAGTCCCAAAGCCTTTCTAGTTGTGTATTTTTAATTTTTTCCCCACTCTGGGTTACAGAGCAGCTCAGAGGTTCAGAGCACCCAGGTTCAGTTCCAAGCACCCTCTAATGGCTCTGAACCACCGGTTAATTGCAGTCCCAGGGAATCTGATGCCCTCATCTGACCTCTACAGACAGCAGGCACACACATGATTCACATACATATATGCTCAGGCAAAAACACACACAAAATACAAATTTATAATTTTTTTATATATCAGAATGCAAATGCCATGCCCCTGGTTTACTTCTAGTCTGAAAAAGAATTGTCATTGTCTTAAAGAAACCCACAGTGACAAATAATGGAAATACTCACTCTGGCTCCAAAGGTCCAAGTTCCTGCAGACATACAGTCAAAGGGACTTTACTGAAAGACCAAGATTCGGAATCCACAAGCTGAGTCACATGATTCAGAAGTTTGATCTCATAATCAAACTCAAGAATCCTCCAATAACCTACAAATTCCAGATGTCAAGCTTACTAAAGAACACTTAAAGTGATTAAATAATCAATAAACAAAGCAGTAACACCCTCCTCCCCATAAGGCATTGTGGTGGCTACTGTTCATTGTCAACTAAACACACTCTAGAGTGCCCTGAGAGGACTCTCTGTGACGAATGGCCTGAGGTATCTGTACTGTGTGGTGTGGCTGATTAGAACTCTCTGACCACAGCTATCTGCAGACGTGTTCTCACAGCACAAAGAATGGGTGTGGACAAGAAAAATAACCACTGGGGCGTCAAGATATCTTTCCCGATTTCTGCAAACACTGGCTACGTACGTACACAATGGGATTTTCTTCAGCAGCCAAGAATGAAATGATATTTGAAGGAAAATGGATGGAAGTGGAGTACGTTATGTTAACAGAAATGAACCAGAGAAAGACAAATACCATGTTTTCTCAAATATATAGAATCTAGATTTAAATCTGTGCGCGCATGCGTGTGAAGATACACATTTACATGTGGATGTGAAGGCAGAGACAGGATTATGAGGAAGAGGTCTAAGGGGAGTGGGGAAGGAAGAAAAACTAGGGGAGTATACATGTCATTAAGTCAAAGGGGACCTATTTGCAGGGAAGAAGGTCCTCACCAAGAGAAGGCAGACAGGTGATGGAGGAGCAGTGGGAGGGGGACTAAGAACAAAGCATAATGTCACAGTGGGCCAGGTGGTGGTGGTGGCACACGCCTTTAATCCCAGCACTCAGGAAGCAGAGCCAGGCAGATCTCAGAGTTCAAGGCCAGTCTGGTCAACAGAACATGTTCTGGCACATAGCGGCACATGCCTTTTGCACCAGTACTTGGGAAGCAGAGGCAGGAGGATTTTTGTAAGTTCAAAAGTGGCCTGATCTATTTAGTGAAGTGGTTCTCAACCTGCCTCCTTCCTTTAATACAGTTCCTCATGTTGTGGTGACCCCCAATCATAAAATTATTCTTGTTGCCACTTCATAATTGTAATGTTGTTACTGTTACGGATCGTAATGGAAATATCTGATATGCAGGGTATATGATATGCCTCCCCTGTGAAAAGTTAGCTTGACTCCCAAAAGGAGTTGTGAACCATTGGTTGAGAACCTCTGATTTAGCAAAGCCCAGGTCAGCTATGCTGTCATACCCTGCCTCAAACAGAAAGATAGAGGATGGATGGATGCATGGACAGATGGATGAATGGATGGATGATAGAGGTAGATAGATGATAGATCGATTGATAGATGACAGAGAGAAGATAGATAGACAGACAGATGGCTTATAGATGCTTACAAACATGGACTCAGTAGTGACTACAGATCCAGATACTGACAAAAATGCTACACTCCAGAGCATAAGCCAACCAAACCCTCAAAGGAGGCACCGCAGAACTACTCCATCAACTGCTTGCTGCACCTGAGTCTTTCACATGTGCTTAAATTTTCACATGCTCATCAGTCCACTGGCGTTAGCATATGAAGAGGCACAGCACACATTCCAAGCTATTTGAAATCTATGAAGTTGTTGCACTGATTCTGATCCACAGATCTAGCATCAATGCCGTGACTGTCACTAACACAATCCCTTAGGCTTTAAATGTTTCCTGTTTAAAAATTGGTTTAAGCCAGGTGTGGGGGGAGCTGCACACCTTTAATCCCAGAACTCAGGAGGCAGAGGTAGGTGGATCTCTGAGTTTGAGGCCAACCTGGTGTATATATAGAGTGAGTTCTAGGAAAGCCAGAATTACAAAGAGAAATCCTGTCTCAAAAAACCAAAATAAATAAATTAAAAAAAAAAAACTGATATAAATGAAAATATCAGATGACTTTATATTTAAGGACTTCTAAAGGGAAATGTTTGTAGTGAATGGTTAAAATGTCACTGTTCACAGACTGACAGATGAACCATATGAAAATATCATCTTATAGGCTAGTCCAAGACAAACATCATCATGTGTGTGTGTGTGTCTGTGTGTGTGTCTGTGTGTGTGTCTATGTGTGTGTATATGTGTGTGTGCGCCTGTGTGTGTGTGTGTGTGTTGGAATTCAAACACCAGGTCTTGCACTCTTCACCAAGTACTCTTCCACTCCTGATATCATTACCTTTGAAGCTAAAAGGAAATTAAACAAGCATGCAACATGGGTAAGGTGCCCCAAAGCTTCTCTCTTGCTTATGATATAATTCCACCATTATGAATGGTAATAGTTACACTACCTCCAATCTCACAGGCATTTAGGACTTGTAACTGGGCCATTAATTCTTCCTCGCTTGCCTGAATTTGATCAAGCAAGTCTTCAGTTGTATACTGAAATAAACAAATGAAATAGACACATATCTTAATGATTTGAGAACTATTACTTTCTGAATTTTCTTAATGAGTTCTAGAGAATAAGTAAATTGTAGCACGAATAATAAAAACCCAGAGACAGATACTGGGGTTCAAGCTGAAGATCAGAAAAGCAAAGTAGCCAAGCCACTAGAGAGTTCTCACCTCTACCAAGGCTAAGACCAAAGTACAGGTGATCCTGTCCTCAGAGTGACTGCAGACTGCAATGCTCTCCACCAAACCTCACACTGCACTGAGCTCCTGCCTTATATTCTCTCTAGTGCTGGGATCTGTTTCTCTTTTAGACTGATTTACTCTCCTGTAGCCCAGGGTAGCCTTGAACTCTCAGAGATCCATCGGTCTCCCAATCTGCTGGGATTAAAGGTGTGGCCACCACTGTCTGTCCTCTGTGGCTAACTAGTGGCTTAGCTCTTAACTAGGTGGTTTGTTAACTAATGGCTTAGCTCTGCATTCTGATCTTCAGGCAAGCCTTATCTGTTAGATTACAAACAATATACCAGTACAGTAAGTGGAGCTAGTAAAAGCACAGTTTCTTTTGTTGATGCATCGTAATACAAAACCAAAAATCTGTCTGAAAACAGGAGCAAATCTTAATGTCATTGCACTTGGCAATGGTTTATTGAATAGGATGCCAAAAACACGAATGACAAAAGTCATAGCCAGGTGTGATGGCACACACCTGTAATCCTTGTCAAGCTGAAGGAAAGGAGTATTTGGGTTAGCCTGGGCTGTACAGTTCAATTCAATCCTATCAAAAAGGGGGGGGGGGACAAGAAAAGGAGAGGGAAAAGGGGGAGAAAGAGGAGGAAGAGGAGAGAAGCAAGTAGGGTCATCAACCAGACTTTATAAAAAGATTACGTTTTGTACTTCAGAATGCTAATTGCTGGTCATGGTGCTGTACACTTGTAATGGAAGTGCCCTGGAGGTGGAGGCAGGGGGATCAAGACCCAGTCTAAGAGCTGGTGAGAAGACTCAGCAGCGAAAGGCTTTTTATGGGTAAAGATGTTTGCCATTATTAGCCTGATACCCCGAGTTTGATCCCTGGAACCCATGTAAAGGCAGAAAGACAGAACTGACTCCACAGAGTTGTCCTCTGACCTCCCCACACATGCCATAGGATGTCCATCCACCAGCTCCTCACACACATACTCAACACACAGCAATCCCACAAACAAAACAAACAGGGCGGGCGAGATGGCTCTGTAGGTAAAAGTGGTTGCCACCAGGTCTGATGGCTTAAGTTCAATGCCCAGAGTCCACGAGGTAGGAAAGAGAATCTGATCCTACAAATTGACCTCTAACCTCCATACTCAGGAGCGCCACCAACACCCACCACACATACCAAATAAATAAATAAATAAATAAATAAATAAATAAATAAATAAATAAATAGATGTAAAAGAAAAACTATCCACACAAAAGGACAAATATGGCTGTACTTATATGGACTTATTAATAGTGGAATTCATAGAGACAAGAAGTAGTGAGTTGTTGCCATTGGGGAGGTTATTATTTAATTAGTAGAGAGTTTAGAAAGATAAAATGTTCTAGAGATGGATAGTGTTGGTGGTGGCACATCATGAACACACTAAATGCTACTGAACTCACTAAAGTGGTAAATGCTATGTGATGTGTATTTTATCACAATAAAGAATAATCAAGTTGCCACGCAGTGGTAGCACATGCCTTTAATCCCAGCACTTGGGGGGCAGAGACAGGAGGAGCTCTGTGAGTTCTAGGCCATCCTGCTCTACAAAGTGAACTCTGGGACAGCCAGGGCTGTTACAGAGAGTATATACTCTCTGTAAATAATACTCCCCCACAACAAAATCATCATCATCAAGTCAGGCTGAATATGGTGACACATGCTTTTAATCCCAACACTCCGGAGGCAGAGGCAGGTGGAGCTTTATGAGTTCTAGGCCAGCATGGTCTACAAATTGAGTTCCTGTACAGCCATAAATACACAGTAAGGCCTCATCTCAAAAAACAAAAACAAAAATCAAGTCAAGTGTGGTACACATTTGTAATCCCAGCACTCAAGAGGCACAAGCAGGAATAGTGTTCTAAGTTCAAAGCCAGCCTGGTGTACATAGAAAGTCACAGGCAGTACACAGTAAGACATTCTCTCAAGGGGGGGGGAGAGGGGGAGGGAGGGAGAGTGGGAAAGAGGAGGGGAGGAGGGAGAGAGAGAGGGAGAGAGGGAGAGAGAAAGAGGGAGAGAGAGGGGGAGAAAGAAATTAAGAAAATAGAAAGATAAAAGGAAAAAAATCTTTGTATCATGTTATCTATTAAGGAATTATGTATCACCTTTTTATAACTAACAATTTAAAATGAGGGGAAAGAATTGCACAGACATTTCTCTAAAGATAGGTAAATTTCCTGTGAAGTTGAGTGAGTATGCTGGCACACACCTGGAATTCCAGCATTAAGAAGCAAAATCGAGTCAAAAGACCAGCTTGGGGAGCTTGTGGTTATACAGGAAAACTCAGTCTCAAAAACAAAACAAAACAAAACAAAAAACAGAGCTGGGTAGATGGTTCAGTGATTAAGAGCACTGGCTGCTCATGCACAGCACCCAGGGTTCAATTCCCAACACCCACATGGTGGGTCACAGCTGCCTATAACTTGTTTCTGAGGACCCAATGGGCCATGGGTCTGGCTTCCATGGGCACTGCAAACACATAATGCACAGACACACACACAGGCAAAGCACATGAAGCAAAATCTCCAAAAGCAAACAAACAAAGCAAAATGAAACTCAAACAAGCAAGCAAAAGAAGACAGGGTCTGTGGCTACAGCCCAGGGAGAGTGTTTCTGAAGCCTGTGTGAGGCTCTGGGGCCCATCTGCAGGGCCACATACAAGCCTGTAAGCCCAGCAGTTAGGAAAAACAGACAGGAACATCAGGGTTCCAAGGCCATTCTCAGCTACACAGCAAATTTGAGATCAGCCTGTGATCAATGAGATCCTGCCTCCAAACGGACAACCAGAACAAGAAAGATGGTCAGCATCTTTAGCTACAAGGAAACCATAATGAGGTATCTCTCTACACACAGAAGCACACTCTAGTCCCGGGTGGTCTCCCAACCAAGGACTAACTCAGCCCAATCCTGCCTTTGCTCCTTGTTTTAACTCAGTAAATTCTAATGCAATCAAGAAGATATTGTGAGGCTGAGATGACAAGGACCCACACCTCCTTAACTCCTGAGGTCACACGAAACCAAGCACATTTAAACCGCAGAGTCCTTGACAAAATGCCACTCCGTATCCACCCAGACTGCTGTATGTTTGAAACTTTTATAACACAAATTTAAAAAAAAAAAAATAAGACTATCACTGGTAAAGGATGATGGCACACACCCACAATCCCAGCACACGAGGAAGCAGAGACAGGAAAATGGCTGTAAGTTCCAGGCCTGCCAAGTCTACATAGCAAGAATGTACCTCAAAAAAAAAAAAAAAAAAAAAAAAAAAAAATTAATTATTTACATTTCAAATTTTCAAATAAAACCAGGAAATAATATTCTTACTTTTGAACGGCTTGGATCTTCTTCTCTGTGGCTGTCAGGGCCTTCATAGGCATTTTCCATCAGAAGTTTCTTTAGCTTTTTTAACTTGGGTCTGCATCTCCTTAACTCCCAGTAATTATTAGAGAAACCAAAGATCTAGAAATCACAGTGCAGCGTAAGTCTTTCTGGCCTTTCTAAAAGACAAGACACTTCCACAAAGTCATTGTTGCCCCACGGTACCTTCCCAGACACCTCAACTACTACTTTGAAAAACTCATTAAGAAAAACACTGCTGTCAAGCAGAGGTGACACACAGCCTGGTCCCAGCACTTGGGAGGCAGAGGAAGGTACAGGACCAAACATTACCTCAGTGTGAACAATGTTTCCCTGTGTTTCCTCCCTCTTCAGCTGCTCCGCAGTTTTGCAGCCAGGAATGACGAGCAGCATATTGGATGTGTCTGCTATCTTCAGGTCATACGTTTTGTCTTTACTACAGAACACAGCTTGTTCATCTTTGTCTCCTCGGATGACAAAACTACAGGGAAATGAAGGGGGGAGAAGATGTGGCTTATTGAGACACTAGTGGATAGCGCATTCGAATACTCCCCCAGTCCTCTGGCTTCTAGACTTAAAACTAAGCCTCAGGGCTGCAGCTGTGGTACTTTGAAAGAGAAATCCTCCCCCCACCCCGCCCCCAGGATCAGTTGTTTGAACACTTGGTCCCCAGTTGGTGGCGCTATTTGGGGAGGTTTAGGAGGTGTAGTCTTGCTGGAGGAAGTACGTCACTGAGGGTGAGCTTGGAAAGCATAGCGCCTTGTCTTCTAAGAGTTCGCTCTCTCAGCTTTGTGCTTGCCATCAAAGATGCGTCTCCGTACTGGCTGGTTTTGTGTGTCAACTTGACACAAGCTAGAGTCATCAGAGGAAGGAGCCTCAGCTGAGGAAATGCCTCCATGCGATCCAGCTGTGAGGCGTTTTCCCAGTTAGTGATCAATGGGGAAGCGCCCAGCCCATGGTGGGTGGGGCCAGCCCTGGATTGGTGGTCCTGGGTTCCGTAAGGTGGGCTGAGTAAGCCATGGGGAGCAAGCCAGTAAGCAGCTCCCTCCATGGCCTCTGTGTCAGCTCCTGCATCTGGGCTCCTGCCTGTTTAAGTCCCTGTCCTTGACTTCCTTCAGTGATGAACTGCAATGTTGAGTGTAAGCCAAATAAACCCTTTCCTTTCCTCCCCAACTTGCCTTTCATACATGGTGTTTATCTCAGCAAATAGAAACCCTAAGATAGGATTTCAGTTTCCTATCCCATGCTGCCATGCTGTCTCCTCTTCACGACAAGCTTTTTGTTTGTTTTTTGAGACAGGGTTTCTCTGTATTGCTTTGGAGCCTGTCCTGGAACTCACTCTGTAGACCAGGCTGGCCTCGAACTCACAGAAATCCACCTGCCTCTGCCTTCCGAGTGCTGGGGTTAAAGGCTAAAGGCGTAGGCAAGAAAGGCTCAAAGAGACCAGAAGGACAAATGTCACCACAGACATGAAAAAAAAAAAAAAAAAAAAAATCAGAAGGCATGCATCCAGATGCTCTGGTATTCAGGTGGCTGACGGGCCAGCAGTGACTGACCCTTGCAATTGTAGAAATGAGGACCAAAGTTTCAAGGCCATCCTCAGCTACATAGTAAGATAGTACACAGCAGGTTTGAGGTCAGCCTGATCTACTTGAGAGCCTTTCAGAAAATGAAACAACAAAATCAAAGCAGCAAACACACAAAAGCAGAAGGAAAGGGAATGATACAGCTGTCTTCTAAAGCAGGCTGAGTGACACTTCTCAAACATACACAGACACCCTGGAGAAGGCAAGCAGACCGGCATAAGGTAAGTCTTGGATGAGACCTAGGATTCCGCATCCCTAACGAGTTCCCGGAGGATGAGTATGCGGCTGGTGCCCAGTCCAGTCATCCTTGCCTTGTTCTGCATGATTAAAGGTCCACAGCTCCGCCTAATCTTCGGCAATGTGGCAGAGAAACAGGGACCTGGGGACCTCGGGGAAAGAAGGCTGTGTGAGGACTATATTTAAGACTGGAGTTCTCCACAGGAGAGGGAGAGTAAAGATGGAGGTGAGGAGGGAGAAGAAACGCAAAGCTGACCGTGATGCTAAGGTGTCGGATCTGTGTGCATTACCTATGAAGCATTTTACACTTCTGTGCACAACTAACTTCCTTTAAATAAACAGTAAATAACCTAAAGTAGGGCACTGGAATTTTCTAAAACAAAACCTTTAGTTTAGTGTAAAGATTAAAAGGGGTGTTAGTTTTTTTTTGGGGGGGTTGTTTTGTGTTTTGTTTACTCTTGGTGCCAATAAAGCTGAATGCAGTGGTTCTCAACCTGTGGGCCACTGCCCTTTCGGGGTTGAGCATCAGATATCATGCTTATCAGATATCTACATTATAGTTCATAACAGTAGCAAATTTACAGTTATGAGGTAGCAAAATAATTTTATGGCTGGGATGTCATCACAACACGAGGAACTGTGTTAAAGGGCAAAGCATTAGGAAAGTTGGGAGCCGCTAGTTTACTGGGTCTAAGCCGCTTACTCTAACCATCATTTCTGTACCCTACCCCTCCCACTTCAAAACATTTCTTTAGGAATAGGAGGTAAAATCAGGAGTTCAAGGTCACCCTTGAATACAAGGCCAGATGAGGCCAGCCTACAATACATGAGACCCTATTGCATAAAAACCAAAAGTGAGGAGTACATATTGTTCCAATTCTTGTAAATGAGGCCAAGGTGATGGTACATCAGGTAAAAACCTACATGAAAAGCTGGGTGCAGGCTGGAGAGATGGGTCAGAGGTTAATAGCATAGGTTACTCTTCCAGAGGTCCTGAGTTCAATTCCCAGCAAGTACATGGAGGCTCACAGCCATCTATAATGAGATTTGGTGTCCTCTTCTGTAGTGCTGGCATACACGGAGGCAGAAAACTATGCATACTAAATAAATAAATAAATAAATAAATAAATAAATCTTTAAAAAAAAAAAAGTCAGATGTACTCCAGGGCAGATGCGGGCAGACAGGAGAACTGGCCAGAGTACACCGTGAAACTGTAGAAACAAGAGACATTCTACCTCTCTCAGAGACGGAAGGAGAAAATGAACTCCCAAGAGTTGTCTTCTGACTTCCAATCACAAAGGCTCCTCTCTCTGCCTCTGTTTCTCTCTCTCTCTCTCTCTCTCTCTCTCTCTCTCTCTCTCTCTCACACACACACACACACACACACACACACACACACACACAAGGCTGGGGGATGTAGCTCACTCCAGTGGTAGAATATTTGCCTAGCCTGCACAAAGCCCTGAGTTCACTCTCCAGCATACCTATAATCCCAGCATGCACAGCCAGAGGCAAGGGGGTTAGAAGTTCGCAATCATCCTTGGCTACAGAGTGAGCTTACTGCCAGCCTGGCCAGAGACTCTGTCTGGGGGTTGGGGGGTGGGGTTAAAAGGCATGTTGTTTTAATATCTTGATTTTGCCAACTAAATTAAATAAGTACCATATTAACCGAACAAAGAAAAGATCCTTCATACCTTCAGTCCTTCTTAATCTTCAATTCAGCTGGGTGCAAATAGATAAATATTTTTTGGGGAAATTCTCTTAAAGGTATTTTGTGATCAGTGTGTGGCTAATGACTAGAACACTATGTGATGGGTCAACTATACAAACTCAAAGAGCACTTAGACGGTCCAACTAAAAAGAACCTAGGGGCAGAAACAATGCCTAAGTAAATGCAAGAAGGATTCAACTTGCAGGATTCAACTTGCAGGAGTCTGATCTGCACAAAACAAACGGACCCAAAGCTAGTTGAGGAGGACGGCAGGGCGGCTCATTCAGTAAAGGTGCTTGCCTCTGGGAGAGCTGCACTTTTCAGGCAGCCCCTATTTTTCACCAACACCCACCCCACAGGACTGGGGATCCAACCTATGGCCTGAATCCTATAACATAAACACTTCATCACTAAGCCCAAACCAGTCCCAGCCAGGGCCTCCCAGTGTTAAAAATCCAAGGTCTTGGCAGTAAACTTGTAGTTGGCCTGGAATTAAAAAAAACAGCTCCAGATCCTCAGTCAGAGTCCCCAAACCAAGTCTGCATTAGGCTTTAAATGTCTGCCTCATCTGTCCCACCTACTGTCCGAGTAAAAGAAGCCCGAGTGGAAGGCAGGAACTCTCCATATAGATATTGCCCCTATCATCTGAGAGAGAACTGTGCTCTGTAGAGTTCTTGGCATCACTGCTAAGGCCTTCATTACTCCCTGGGGCTCTCAGCCTGACATTCTCCCGCGGCTGAGTCCTGCTAACACATCAGTCTAGCAGAGGCGTGGATTCCTCCAGGCAGATGACAGACAGCAAGCTGGGGATCCGCCCACCAGCCTGTACTGGCCCAATCAAAGCAGCTCTCTGATTCACTTCCTCACTCGGTGCCCACCCCCTACCCTCCCCCCCCCACACACACACCAGCAGCAGCAGCAGCAGGTAGGTGACCTGCACGAGGCTGGGGATCGTGTGCCCGGGTCCCCCATCCAGGCTCACCTGTGCCCGGCCTCCAGCTGCTGGCACAGTGCGGGTTCCAGCTCCAGCAGGCAGAAGTCGCCGGCGGCCGCGCCGCTGGTGCCGGGGCCGAAGCTCAGGCAGTGCACAGTGGGCAGCAGCTCGGCGGCGTTCAGCTTGGCCACCTGCAGCGTCGCGTCCACCTCCTCGCGGGTCCTCCGCGAAGCGGGCGGCCGAGGCATGTCGCAGCACCGAGAGGGGCGTGTCGCCGACTGTGCAGATCCGAGCGCCGGGGACTTCAAAAGCGCGCCAAATCCGCCGGAGCGGGCTTCCGGGGCGAGCGGGGCGTGTCCGGGAAAGTCGGAAAGCGTCCCGGCGCGCGAGTCACTGGGCAGTCGGCGCACTGCTTGCCAAGTCCCGATTTGCTGAGGGGAAGCATGTGTTTTCTCTGAGCTCTCCTGGAAGGTCGTGTTGACCAGTCTGGGTCCCGGGGCCAAGCACAGAACTTGCACCCACCCCTTCCGCCGCCCTGTGCCCGCCCTCTTCTTTCCCGCCAAAGCTGTCTTCTCTCCTGCCATAATGGGTCCTGGTGATGAGCTGTTTGCATAATTTCTTTAATCGGTTTCCACGACCCAATAAGACAGGATCCAGGTACCCTTCAGGCAAATGATAGCAGGATGCTTGCCAGTAATAGCACAGCCTGGACATGGTAAAGCCTGAATCCAGCCAAGTCTATGGTGGCTCCAAAAATCGCCCAGCTCAGTTTTGTTCAAAGTCCAGGACCCTCGTTCGTTAAATACTTATTTCGTGCTAAGTGGCACATGAGACATACCGTGGAAAGCAGTCTGTCTGGTACTGGGAAAACCCTGCAGGCTCCAGGGAGAGTTCAGCTAATTCAGCACTGGCGGATGCTTGACCAAAGTTTGCAATGACCTCAAACCTCTTTTAAGATGAAAACTCATTCATAGACTCACATCCATGTACTTGTAACTGCTTGATTGTGGGCTCTCCAAGGGATGCCAGCAGATCTGGCTGCCCATGAAAGCTGAAAGACCCTAAGAGAAATAACTCTTTTTAGAGAGGACAGCCTTCTACTTGTTCCTGTAAGTTAGACTTTAGTTGAAATAAAGGAATATATTAGTTGAGGCTAGTGAAGGGCTGAAATCAAAGGAAATAAGCAAGTTTGTTTATTGTTTGTTTGTTTTTCCCGAGCCTTTTGATGAAACAACAGGAAACCAATAGAGCGGAGCATCCCTGAGATCTCCCTGAAGATTTAGTCGGAGGAAAACGTCAGTCCTATAACCTCACTCATCTTCTCTTTTAAAACATCTGAACCAACTGGCATGTTGGTGCATGCCTTTAGTGCCAGCAGTCAGGAGGCAGAGGAAGGTGGACTTCTTAGCCTGGTCTACATAGTGAGCTCCAAGCCAGCCAAAGCTACATAGAGAGACCCCGTCTGAAAAAGCAAAAATCTGAACCCATACGGAAAATGATGGAACAATGTACTGAACATGAAAGTTGAGAATTTATTACTGGGTACCAGTGAGATGGCTCAATGTTGTAAGTGCTTGCCATGCAGTCCTAATGACCTGACTTCAGTCCCCCCAAAACAGTGGAAGGACCCAACTCCCAAAAGTTGTCCTTTGAATTGTACCCACTCACCATGGCACACAGCCACCCATACTTTCGCATACCACTTACAAACACACAATAATAATACAAAATACTATTTGGAAGATAACCAACCATTGAAAGTGAAATTAAAGTGGAAACATTCAGGCTGCCGAGATGGCTCAGCAGTTAAAGGTGCTCACTGCCAAGCCTGATGACCTGAGTTTAGTCCCCAGAATCCACAGTTAGAAGGAGAGAAGCAACTTCCCAAAGTGGTCCTCTGACCTCCATGTGCCTTAACAAGTGTGCACCACACACACAATAATAATAAAACAAAAAATGTATCTAGGTGGTGGTGGTGCATGCCTTTAATCCCAGCAGAGGCAAGTGCATACTTGAGTTCGAGGCCAACCTGATCTACAGAGCTAGTTCCAGGACAGCCAGGACAGAGGAACACTGTCTCCAAAAACCAAAGTGGCATTTCCTGCAACCAGAAATTGTAGAGGATAGGGAGAACTGGGAAATTTTCAATATATATGTCTGGCTTGGAATTCTAATTCCTCAAGGTGACATCTAGCATTTCATTTCCTCTCTCTCTCTCTCTCTCTCTCTCTCTCTCTCTCTCTCTCTCTCTCTCTCTGTTTCAGTTTTTGGAGACAGGGTTTCTCTGTGTAATGGCCCTGGCTGTTCTGGAACTAGCTCTGTAGACCAGTCTGGCCTCAAATGCACAGAGATCTGCCTGCCTCTGCCTCCCAAGTACTGGAGTTAAAGCCATGAGCCACCACTGCCCACCAAATAATTTCATTTCTACTTAATGAGGCCAAGTAAATTTTCCTATTGCTGCAACAAAATACCCTCACAAAAGTAAGTTCAGGACAGATTTATTTTGGCTTGAAATCCAAAGGGGACATAGTCCAGCTCCTTAGAGAAAGGTGTGGTGACAGCAGCAAGCAGAGACTGGTCCTATTTCACCTGCAGTCAGGAGGCTGCAGCCCAGGAGATGGTACTGCCCACATTTAGGATGGATCGTCCCTCCTCAGTTAACCTAATCTAGAAAACCCTTCACTGACATACCCGGAGGTTTCTTTCCAGGGTGATTCTAAATTCCCTCCAGTTGACAACCCAAATTACCCATCTTATTTCGCTTCCTGCAAGTTCAACTTGGGGTTCTCTATTAAAATTGGATGATTGTTTCAAAGGGTAGTAACACGGGATGCTGGAGACAGAGAATTGTCATCAACAGCCATGGCCCCTTGGTTGCCATGTTACCAACCAGCTAGACAAGATATGCACTATAGTGGCAAGTCTGTCATGAGGTAGCCAACCTCCTTCTGATTGGAAGTGAAGCTTGTTGCACAGAAAAGAATTCATGTTGGTACTGTGAACCTGGTCCAAACGCCCATGTTTGGGGGTCTTAGGATCTCATGGGGAAACCACTGCTGTTGCTGATTTAAGTGGACATGGTGTGCCTATGAAACTGCCTTCCAGACAGCTATGCTCACTGATGTAGATTTACTCTCAGCTTTTGTCACAGAGGTGACTGCAGAGATTTGTTGTTGATCACAGTGCTGAATGTTTGGCAATAAATATGGCATCTGTGTTAATCCTTCCAAGGGAAGGAAAAGGAGGTAGAAAGAAGGTAAGGACCAGAGGATAACCTGGAGTGTTGTGGAATGCTGCTTTCTGGGCGCGGCATGGCCATGGCACACTCTTAAACTCACGGCAGGGGTGATTCCCTGCCCTGCAATACCTATACAAGATTGGGCTCACCGGCATCTTGTCCTAGAAGGTGGGGACTCAGGAGGTTCCTACCCCTCTCTGAGGATTTGTAGGTAGCTAGTGGTTGCTTGGGGAAGAAGAGACATTTTCTTTAGTGGTGTAGCCATTGATAAACTGCTCATACTCATGTAAGTAATTAACCTCTTGTCCATACTCCTGTAAGTAACTCTAGAGAGCTTCACTGGGTCACATAGGACAAGGCCGGGGGGGGGGGGTGATAGAAGAGAGGATAGTTAGGAGGAGGGAGGAAATCAGAGTGGATAAGGGACAAGAGAGAGTGTATTCCTTACTTTTCTGTTCCGTGACAAAGCAGGATAATCAAGGCAGCTCATAGAAGAACTGGTTGATTCAGGCTGAGGATTCCAGAGGGCTAATCACCTGTGATGGCAGGGTGGGGCAAGGCACCTGGGACAGGAAACTCAGAGCTCACATCTTGAAGCAGAATGATCAAAATCCAGGCGAGCAAGGCTTTTTACTCTCAAAGTTCTCCGCCCATGACATATTTCCTCTAGCAAGATCACACCTCCTAAACCTCCTCAAACAGTACCACCAACTGTGGGAATGCTCAAGACTATGGGAACATCTCTTATTCAAACTACCACAGAAGGTAACGGGGAGGGTTAAATATGCTCAAACTGCATTATGTTCATGTGTGGAAATGTCATAATGAAACCTATTATTACCTGTAATTAATATATGCTAATAAAGTACAATTTAAAAAAAATAATGAATGATAGGGTCGGGGTGTAGCTCCATGATGGACAGGTTGTCTAGCATGGAAAGGCTCTGGCTGGAAACCCCAGCTCTGAGGGGGGAAAAAAAAACATGTCAATGGCAAGAATTGAGGTCTGGGAGAAACAGAATCAAGTAGCGTCTTAGTGTCTTGGTATCTGCTCCACCTTATGGAGATATCTTCTGATAAATGCCGTTAAAAGTTTTGCTTGTTGAATATGGAGGAGGGGTGGATGGAGGGAATGGACGGGAAGTGAGAGAGAGTGGGAGGCTGTGGCCAGGACGTAAAATTAATTAATTAATAATTATTAGGAAAAGGATTATAGGATGATTTAAATTTCACATCATTAAAATATATTTGTGTATGAGAATTTTTCTTGTCTCGAAAAATCAAAACTAAAACAAAAAATTAATTTTGCTCGTAGAACAATTGCGGATTTGCCCACTAGATGGTGGTATTGCTTCATTTGTCCAGACAGATCTGCTCCGTTCACTTGTTCTCCATCATCAACAAGACAGCCAGGGTCTATGCTGAGAGCTACAGAAGACATCCGCATCACTCCCTCCAGAACAGGGGCCACAGGAGATGGAGTGGAAAGACGGGAAGAGCTGGAGGATGAACCGGACTGAACCGGCATGCTGCCTTCTGGATATGACATGACCATCATAACCACGAATACACGCAGCTACCTGCAAAAGCCTGACCTGACCCCACCCCATAAAGATATGGGGGAAAGAGGCTTGGCTAGAAGAAGGGAGGGTAATAAGAGAGGGGTGAATATCACCACAGTGCATTCTGTACATGTATGTAATTGTCACGTGTTTTTAAGTGATACAATTGCTTGAGGCTTTGATAAACACTGCTAATGTTGTTTAACCCTCCTCCCTTCTTCTCCTTCCGTACCGATCACCTTCCACCTCCCCAACTAAAACCCCCACCCTCAAATTTCCCGTTTATTCCTTCTTATCTCCTGCATCATTCTCTTCCAGTCGTCCCTCCCTCCCCCAGTTCATTTTTACTCTCCTGGTTTCTGCAGCTACTTTGGATTATGTACTCACATCTGAAGGTTGGAGCTAAGAGCCTTAGATGAGAGAAAAAAAACATGTGATGTTTGTCTTGCTGGGTCTGGGTTACCTCACCCAATATGATCTTTTGTAGTTCTATCCATTTACCTGTGAACTACATGTTTCTTCACGAAGGAAAAGTATTCCATTGTGCCTGTGTCCCACATTCCTATTATCCATTCATCTGTTGAAGGACAG